GGGTAGTGCAGTTATTGGAATGAAGGCACTCAAACGAAGGGCGCATCTATCTGGTGATCTTGTAATTTTTTGTCGGCTAAATTTACCTATTACGCAATGAAAAGACAACATTATCAAACTAAGATAGAGGTAGCAATTTAATTGATTTCCCATATGTACTGGTGCCAGCTCAATGACGATTCCATTTCTATATTACACAACGGCTGAACATTGTCGGGTTTAAGATCGAGCTTTCTCTAGATCTTTATTCCTTATGGGTCGGCTGATCGCAAAGAAATTGATAAATTTTATTCTGAAGCCTTCATGGCAAGCCAATTAATTTTTACGTAACTTGCACTGCTGTTTTGCCAGTGTTCGCTATTAAGCCTAAAAATTTATTTCCACTGGTCAACAGCTGTCCAGAAAGGTCGCATCTCAACAACTCAATCAGATGTAAGCTGTCTACAAATGGGCCTTGGTGACATGCGCAATCCTCAGTCCTTTTACTCAAATTACATCACTCTCTTACTTCGAGCCGACACCATCGCGCGCTACCAGCAATCCCTCGGGATCTCCACAAATATTGCAGGATTGGAAAGCGCGTCTGAGCTTGCCACGAGACTGCTGGTTTCCATAACCGAATGGGCAAAGAATATTCCCTTTTTCTCAGAGCTGACTCTTCCTGATCAATCCATCTTGCTACGGTCGTGCTGGAGTGAACTGTTCATATTAAACGCTGCCCAGCACTGCTCGCCGTTTCACATGGTGCAGCCGCTGACCATTAGCGCGTTGACCTCTCCATCGAACACGGAGATGTTAACAGCAGGCAGTAATGGACCACTCACAACTTTCGATTCTGCAGAAAATCTTAGATTATTCGAAGAACAGGTTGAAAAGCTTAAGAATTTACACATAGATTCTGCTGAGTTTTGCTGTCTTAAAGCTATTATTCTTTTTAATCCAGGTAAGTGGAGTAAATGTCTTTTACTTATTTCAGAGTATAAAAGGTCTACGTTTCCAGACGTGGAATTTCTTTATTATACAGTTCAACTCGTCTTTGCCGTGGAAAAAAAGTTATAGTCTCTCAAGGTAAATTGCTCGTGAGAACACTTTCAGCAGGGAAGACTTCTTTTCATCATTTTTTAAAGGATGGAATGTACTCTGAAATTATTCTCTGTTAGAAGTACTTGGACTGTCTCACAAACACCATCGAAGTCAATTTAGTTATTATATGAATTAAATTTAAAAAAGATGACTTTTTGACCAGTATTTGTCTCATGACGTTTCATTTCTTCCTGGACACTTTCAGATTCTCAAGGACTCTCTAACTGTACTCACGTGGAAGGCCTCCAAGAGCGTACCCAGTGTGCACTGGAAGATTACATTCGCACCCAGTACCCAAACCAACCAACGCGCTTCGGAAAACTTCTCCTGAGGCTACCCTCCTTACGCTTAATTCGTCCTAGTACAGTGGAGGCATTGTTCTTTCCTCCAATCAATTTGGCAAGTACACTGGAAAGTGCTTTGAATGAGATGTTGGTTATTACCAGCGTCGTGACAAGTTCATCCAACAACTGGGCTAATGCTGGGTTTCCAAATGGAAACATGAATTCCATGAACACCAATGGTACTACTGTGATGTGATTGGTGGCCTGTGGCATATCAACACGAGAGATGTTTACAATGCGTCGGTACAAATACGGAAAATTACCACACTGTGATGCAAGATTGATTTATGTAGAGGACGTGAGTATTGAGAACTGTGCTGTGAGATCCAAAAAGTTAGGGTTACATCGGAGGTTCGTATTTCACCGTGCAAGTGAAGAATGGTTATAGAGAAACCATCTCTTGTATTTTAAACTTAAGAATATCCAAGCTTAACAATGACTGAATAGCACTTTATCCGAAAACCGTCTTCGGAGTATGCAAATCTGACGACATTCATAGAAAATCCTAATATGTGAAACTGAACAACGAATATTCTTCCCCAAGTTTGCAATATTTTTTCCAGAAAAAACTACAAAATTTATCCATAAAAAGTATGACTGCATGGCAAATATTTGTCAAAAATAAGAAGTGTCTCTCTTTTATTTAAATTACTGGCACTTAGAATAGTTCTTCTTAAAATTACTTGTTAGGTTATCAATTTTATCTAGACTTTGATAAGTAGTAATTATATAATTTAGTGGATTGTTTTGAGTAGACTTGGAGAATTACTTTTATAACAATGGAATAATGCTTTAGGACTTTTAATACACTATAAGCGAGACTTTTTTATAACACTTAAGTATTCGAATAATGAAACTTCGTAGTCTAGTTTTAAAATAGGCATTTTGAATAGATCACTTCGGTTGAACATTTTGATTACCAAGGAAAGTAAATTTTAGATTTTGATATTCAGGTTTGTTTGGTCATAACTCTCCATTACCACTTTCCCCCGTTTCAAACCCTTTAAAGGATTTTGCGTGAAAATAAGCATTGACCTAACAAAGAACAAAACATACTGCTTAAGTTCAGCTCTCACTGTCTCTTTGAAATTTTCGCTGAAAACGTTTACAAAAGCCAAGCGTACATATTAGCTCTAAACACAATACTGAGTCTCCAGGACTTGTCAGCGGTTTTTTCTGCCCTTACGCATGCAACAAATGTGTTTCTGTTACTCTCTTAAGAGGTGACGTGATCATATCATTCCACTGTCGTACTTCAGTGCCAAACGATTCCAAATCCAGCGTTATATGACCGATCCTCTCTGTTTTCAACACTGTATCCCCTCTATGCACTTCACAACTAATACTGGAACGTCGTAAGTCTTCTTCTCGTACATCGAAGACGAAGGCTTCATTGAAAACCGGTGAAGTAGATTTTTTAACCACCTTGGTCTTCTTGCGCTCTATAACTTTTCCCTGAACGCTGTGAAGGACTTTCACGTAGGTATCTGATAAAGAAATGGTATATCAAACTAAATTTAATCAAGATAGGGTCAATGTCACCGACGACAATTCTTTTTCGGACCATTCTCATCTAAACGATCACAGTATACTACACCACACCACAACACAACACACGCATTGCACCGCGCCGTACCGTACCTTACTACACTGCACTACATTGCACCGCACCGTGCCGTACCGCACTGCACCGCACCGTACCTTACCGTACTTCACCGCACCGCACCGCACTGTACCGTACCGCAATGCACCGTACTGTACCGGACTATACTGCACCGCACTGCGATGCACCGCACCACGCAGCACTGCACCGCGCGCACTGCTCCGCACCATACCGTACCGCACTGCACCGTACCGCACTGCACCGTACCGCACTGCGTTGCACCGCCCTGCACCGCGCCGCACTGCACCGTACCGTACTACAATGTGGACTGACGTTGTTGATGTTATTGTTGTTTGAGTAGCTGACTACCGATCGCAAAAATAAAGACGACCGTGGCACAAGTCACAAATACAAGAATTCATTAATAGCGTTACAGGAGAAAGCGTGTTATATTGAAAACCATTTACCACATCCTTCAGGAGCATCTGACTTGGGAAGAGGAAGTCCACTAGCTTTCATAACGATCACATGTAAGTGATTAGCAGTAGGTTGGTGACACACTGACAGTGTTATAGTACCTCGGTCAGCGGACTGAAAATAATGACAACAACAATAGGAAAGATGAAGTATGTATTGCAAATGTAACAAAGCTGGCCTTGCGAGTGAATTGTGCGAACCTAGGATGGGATGTTTTTGTCCGCACATTGTACTTACCTCATTGATGGTCTTGTAGTTCAGGTGGAGTGACAACGTGGTACCTTCAGTTAAATCCACCTCGAGAAGCGACAACATTACCTCAGCCACAAATTCACTCCGAGAAAACTTGTCATAATCAAGGACGACAAACTTAAGGGTAGAACTGTAAAGGCACAAAAAGCAACAGCAACAACCACATTTACTGAGAAAGCGAGTATGAGGACCATGCGGCAATAAAAGGTAGGCTAAATATTGGAGTGATTTAGTTTAATCAACTGAGTAAATAACTTAAATTGGCCACCGTAAGGGGTTGAAAAGCTGACGTTTCGAGCGTTGGCCCTTCTTCTATTGCTCTGATGAGGAGCAAAAAGAGCAAAACGCTCAAAACATCAGCTTTTTAACTCTTTACGTTGGCCAATTTACGCTATCGACTCGGTCGATAATACTAAATTACCTTGTTATGCTCGGCTCTCCCACCGTCGCAACACCACAATTTCTTTAGAAACTTACTCCCTTTAAATATTGGAGTGATTCTAAGACATAATCCGACGAACAAACGTAAAAGAGGGTTAAGTTTTCTGGATGATATCGGTTAAAGGCAAGAAAAAATGTCACTAGTAAACATTAAAAAAAAACACCTTAAAATCAAAAGGCTTTGCCTTTCGCTCGACAAACTGTAAAATCACTGTGAAATTCATTGGAAAATCGATTTGCGAGGGTTTTGTTAAGAGAGAAGAAATTGTTCTCTCAAACTGGGAAGCTGATCCTATGAAAAATGTACCTGTGTGCTTCTTCTAACGTCATCTGATCAAACATGCATTTTCGGTTCGTTCCAAGATTCAAGAAGTTTGACCTGGTATCTTTGTGACGCTGCCCTGGTAACAGATGCACGCGGACGTACGGGGTAGAGATCCCAGAAAGGCGCACGTGAGGCAAATCAAAGGCGCCATTTACCTGCAAAGATACCGCAAATAAAGAACGTTATTGTAAGGGTCCTAAGCTGGAGTTTCAGTAGAAAAAAAGTCAGTGTCTGCTTTTTGTAGTTTGAAAAGCTCGAGGGGAGCAAATGTAAATCCTATTAGCATGTGATGGAAATCTAGGGGAGTTATGCATCGAGGCGCTGTGGGTGGGTACGGTGGGGACCCAAAGCTTACATGGTGGGGGGGGGAGGAATTTAGGTTATTTTTAGTATCATAATTTATCACTTTTCCCCAATGTCAGGTGCTAGGTCATGTGACATGCGTTCGTCCGTCATGAGCATCTTTTCGACGAAAGGAGCAACCTTGTAAAACTCTCGAGTCTTTTTCTTTTAGGGAGGCGTCAATGAGCAAAATGAAGTTTTAGGAAGGTATAGACCGCTGTCGATTAATATCGAATTAAAGTTGTTCTAAAACAAAGAGCCATGAAGGAATCTCATAAAAATAACAATAAATAGACAAACAGATAAAGAAAAATAAACATTTGTGTGAGATTATTCGTCAGAAAGTGAAATTCACAAAATATGCCAGGAAAACCCCGCTTTGTAGCCCACCTGTAAACAATTATATTAACTACTTAACAGCTGGTACATAAGTATTAACAAATACCTGCACAAAGAGCACTTTTTTAGCCGTTAGAAAATGCACGGAAACTTCCAGTTTTCCGTACGGAGCGATGGAAATTTTTTTCACGGGTTCCCTCTTGATTTGAGTTGAGTAAGGTGCGTACTGAGAAACAGCTCTTCTGTATTGGGGGCGGTACTCCGCCGTTGCTATTCCGACCGCAGAAGCTCCGGTTTCCTCATGTCCTTCTGTTGTTTCTTGTTTTGAATTCCCTGACTGATCTGATGGTGGTGGCATTGAAATAGCTCGTCTGAAGGCCGGAGGCGTAAACTTTCCACCTATTTCGTCCGTTCTCAAGTCTCCAAAGTCGCTCAAAGTTTCTCCATCGCTTTCATCCGCAATCAGGGTATAGGGCGGAATGACGAATTCAGGCGGTTCTTTTGGCGAAATGTAGGTTCCTAGCTTTTGCGATGCTTTCGAGCCATTTATTTGCGTCAGGTATTTCCTGAAATAAACGATTCCCACGATAGAAAGAAGCAGGATGAAAACTAAGACCCCAAGTCCGACTGATGCGGCGATGAATTGCGAAGATTCCATTTTTCCCGCCTTGATGTAGGTTGACCGTTAAAAGAAAAAAAAATCCGAACCGCGCGCTAATTTTCAGAGCCACGCACTGCTCCTTGTTCGAGGTAAAATTACCACAAAAGTAACCGTTAACAGAACAGTAGAGAAGATTCTTTGGTTTTTCGAACTCTACAGAAACGAGACTCCATCGCAGCTCTATTCCAGGTTTTGAATAGAAATCTCGTAGGATGCTACTAGCGTGACGGCTCCTCTTCAATCTAGAGCACAAATTCGATCTACTCTCCCCACATGCAATTCTGCTTACCAAACCAATCTGTTTTTCAGTAGATTCAAAGTTTCAGGTGGTTTTATGAGGAGCTGATCTATTCATAAAACCGTTTTCTTCGCACTTAAACTGTGTTTGGATTCAAGAGCCCTCGGGCCAAACACGAAGTTTCGTGTTCCGGTGATGTCATTTTTCCTGTGTAACACAATCTGTCATGCAAAATATCCTTAAACTTTTAAGTCAAGGGTAATGAAGAAAATATATCTTCTGCAACCGTCTGATTGCAAAATGAAACAAAATAAACTAGTAAGCAGGATGACAGACATTAGATTAATGTTTCAACCGATATAGTTGACGAGGAAAGCCGATCAAACGTGACTGAGTTATGACAGTTGGGTTGAGTGTTGACCGCTTGATTCAATATGCAACAAAGAAAACTAAGTCAATATTTGAATTGAAAAGCAACTTTTTTCCTCTTCACACGTTCTCCTCCTAACTGTCGTGGATGACCGCTTCCGGTTCTTTCTATTTTCCATGCTCAATACAAGTATCAAGAATTAAGTTTGCGGGGCAGAAAATATGTTTCCAAAGCGTTGATTGAAATTTGGCCTGGGAATTTTGTGAAATTCTGCGATCAGTATGTCTTCGGCGAATTTTAAGTGTTTCGGAAATCTTGCAAATTTCTTCACGGAAAGCCCCTGCAGTACAATACCCGGGGCCTCGTTCCAGTCTACACAAATTTTTTTTTCCTCGTGAGTTAGTCTTTTTCATTTTAGACCAACAGCTTTTTCTCCTCAAAGCGACTTATCATTTTCACGATCATTCGCAAGTAAGCCCGAAAAAGGAAAGAAAAAAATTGGGAAGAATAGCAGAAGACTGATTCTTTTTCGAATAGATATTTTTTACTTTCCGCTCAAAATTGAGACGAAGCCTCTCCGACATTTTCATTTTACTTGATACTTCAAAACAGGAGAATTTTACGCGAGTGTTGGGTGGATTCGCTGTTAAACATATACATCAGTCTCGATCAGTCTCCCTTTGTCACGAATTTACTATTAGCCTTTCCGATTCTGGCGGCTTAAAAAGCCTGTCAAATCCGGCCGCGAAATTTAAAGAAACAATTTGTGCGCGTACGAACATTCTAAGAACGTACCAGACTCTAGAGGGAGTGTACGTTCTCTTCATAATACAAATTTGATGTTTTAAGTAATAATATCAACATGTTTTCATAAGGATTTTAAGCAGATGTTCCTGATTGTTCGATTTGTATATCTTCGACAGATCGTAATTGACTGGCGGGACGCGGGCTTCAGAGATAAAAAAAAAAA